CCTAGTGGGTCGGTCCATAGACATCATCACGTGAATTCTACCACCCAGTTTGAGTTGTGAGTTTGAAGTCTCATTTGTATCCTTTCTAAATGGAGCTCATGACTGGTTCTCTACAGAAATATGTAGTTCGGTGTTATCTGTTGGAACGTGGGAGTTCCAGTATGGCTTGCCACCATTGAGCCGATTATTATTACACAACACACCTGCATCTAATGTCTTCTAATTCCTACCTAAATGCAGCAGAAGCTTCTCCTTAACAACTTGATCTTTATACGAAGATACTGAAATCTAGTTATGATAATTTCTTGACCAATTACCCTGAGCTATACTATACTATCAGATCTACTATCTGACGCAATTAACTGTTGATAGGAGATGTGGCATCGCTTAGGTCGCAGCAACAATGTGTTAGTTTGGTTTAGCGGTGGTGGGCGAGTCTGAAGCAACCACACGATGCGGCCTGGAGTGTAATATTATAAAACATTTAATGTAATAGATTGATGAAGAGCCGTGATTTCCGCTACTTACATTGAGGTAGTTACTAAGATTGCGGTTTATCTTAAGGCTGGTAGCGGCTTTGACGTCATGATGTCCATGAGCTTTTAGCGATGTAAGAGATATGTTTTTACTGGTGGTAGGACCTCTTGTGAGTCCGCACGGGTAGGTACCACCACCCCGCCTATTTCTGCAGCGCATCGGGCATGTTTGCGGAGGCGCGCACCGACGATTTCTATGCCATAATAAGAAAGCGATGCGCGTCCTTGCTCTGCAGGGTAGGGGCTAGCTCCAACAGCATCCTGGCCATGATATTCTCTAGGTTAGATGGACCTTTTCTGAATCATTGCAGAGAGGTCCACAGGGTTTTCTCGTAATGCAGCTATTGCAATCGTATGTAGTATGTTTGTTGTTGTTTTCTTTTATTTCTGTGTCCTTACTAACTTAGTTTTAAGAAATAACTGTTACTAACATTTATATGGATTGTTATCTGAAATAAAGAATTTAATAATAATTTCTGCCGTGAAGCAGTAATGAATTGCGGTTTGAAGAGTGGGGTAGCCGTTGTAACTATACTGAGACCTTAGAACTTATATCTCAAAGTGAGTGGCGCATTTACGTTGTAGATTTCTATGGGCTCGAGTAACCACTGTGGGCTGTGAGCTCGTCCACCATCTAAGCAAAAAAAACACACACAAAAAGAAAATATTGTCACGATGGGTGATCGAGCTCATGACCCACCCGGTGTTAAGTGTTCACCGTTCACAGTCAAATTCTCTGCTACCTGGTGATAAGTGGTCTTCACTGTCGATTCAGCACCGCACTCTTTCTGAATATTAAAGAACCACTATTAATATTCTTAAACTGGTTCATAATCAGGGCAAAATAATAATCACGAGAAACAGATGATTATTATAATCAGAGAAAATATCTGGGAGTGATAGCTTTTGAATCATAAATAATTCACAAAATACGGAATTAGTTGTAAGCGCTAATTCTAGCTAAGTATTTTTATTTTTAGCTTTGTATTCTTTTTAGTGAAGCAGTAATTCGTTTGGGTTTGACGGGTGTGTCAGCCATTGTACTATAAAACTGTCACTTTGAACTAACATATGTCTCAAGGTGGGTGGCGTCATTTAGGTTGTTGCTGTCTAGTGGCTCCGGTAACCACTTACCACTAGGTGGGCCGTGAGTTCGTTCACCCACTTAAGGATTATAAAGAAAGAACATATAGGTAGAAGAAATCGGGGCCAAAATGATAGGACGGCCGGTGCATTTGTATTAAGCGATGTGATCGTATCCCGCAGACGAGTACCATTTTTTTTTGACTTCTACGATAAAGGAATAGCATGGTGCACTAAAAATCAAGCCCGCAATAAATTATAATTTGCGTAATTTTTTTTTATGATTGAAGGATTACTGGTGGACCGGAGGCCTTTCCAGTTTCACCAGGACAGGTGGGCGAGCAAAAGCTCAGCTAGGACGGTATAATTATTGGTGTCTGTGAGTCCGCACGGGTAGGTACCAACGCCCTGCCTTTTTCTGCCGTGAAGTAAAAATTCGGTTAAAAGGGTGGGGCTGCGGTTATACTGTAAAAACTGAGACTTAGAACTCGGATCTCGTGATGGGCGGCGGCATTGATCTGATTGTTGTCTATGGGTCAGAAGACCAGATTCCGGACCTTGGGCTATGTTAGAAATAACAAAAAAAAGCTTTGCAATCCTCTCAGGTTCAGTACTCCTCAATATTCAACTGTCCTTAAGTCTGAAACCTATGACAAAGAAGTTGAAAAGTGCGCGTTTGAGATGGTATGAACATGTGATGAGACAAAATGACAATGAGGTTGGTTAGAGAGTTTTAACTATGAAGTGAAAGGCTTTAGAGGAAGAGGTAGACCTAAGAAAAAATGGATAAATTGCGTGAAAGAAGACATGTGTAAGAGGAATGTGAGCGAAGAAATGGTATATGATAGAGGAGTATGGAAGGAGAAAACGTGTTGCGCCGACCCCGGTTACTGAGAGAAGGGCAGGAGAATGATTGCTGGGAGAAGGGCAGATTCAATGGCCTCAGATTTAAGTATTTACCTTGTCGAGTATCAGTGCTAATTGTAAGCTTGAACAAGTTAGTAACATCATTAACACTTCGATCAATTTGTTTTTATAGTGAGTGACGACACACACTCCCTTGTTACTGATAGCTGATGTTCTGATAGCCAGCGTTGACAATCGGCTTGTTCACCGGACTACGTACCCGTAGTATAATGTGGGCAGAAGGGTGTCATTAGTCCGTTCTTGCAACACGCCATGTAGCACGGGAGGCCAGCCTAAAACAAGACCGGCACCGTCCATTAGCTGAATCATATGATCATTAATAACGCGCCTAGCCCGACCTTAACATTATCGGACTTAACCTAAACAGACCTTGCCAGGGACAGACCATAAAGAAAACCACTCGCTGTCCTAGTTTAGGAAAATCACAAATATATTTAAACGATACTCCTATACGAATATGGGCTTTATTGTGAGGGTATTAAGGCGGCGGTGCGGTGAAAGTATCGTTTGTAGGTCTGTAGGCCTGGTGTTTCGGTGTGGGAGTGGCATCGTGTCTGTGTGGGTGCGCGTACGCATCGGAGATAGCAATGCGCAGGGCTTCACAAGTTCAAGAGAAATGCGTCGCTTTTGCATTTAACGAATTTTTTTTTATTTTACTTTATCGACATTCTAAAATCCACGAGAGACGGATGCAATTAGGTCGGCTACCGGCAAAAAAATGTTCAGAATATTTTGCACTGTTACATAACAATTTTAGGTGTTTGAACACGCGATGCATTCTAAAATAATAATAAATTAGCTCGCGTGTCTTTCAAAGCGATATCCTCTGACTTGTTGTAACAAGTACTGCACGTAATAATTATTTTACACTTTAATTTGTTGATTAACAAGCGATTAACCGTTTTTTTCCATCCTCATATCCTTCTTTGCAAGAAAAAAAAATCTAGTTTTTTTAATATACTTTTTGAATGTATTTATTTATTATAGATTTCTTTATTGAATTAAAATTTTTAATATTTGTTTAAAACATTGTTGAGATGTGTATATATTATATCAATATTATAATATATAAAGTACTCTTGGGTTACACAAAATTTTGGAACAAACAGCAATATACATCGTAAAAAATCGTAAACTCCTGATATTTGGTTGATACATTTGTTATTTAAATAGACCAAACTATTTTTATCTAATTAACATTCGTAAAATCTTAGAAGGAATGCTTATAACTAATATCGATAACAAAATTTAAAAGTTACAAAAATGAAGCATCTTATTAGTACGCTACAAATTATATTAATTTCCAGCGTAGTACCGTAGCGGGCCGCGGTTGGGTCGCCCAGCGAAACGACTGGTGGTAGAAAATTTTGGTGGGAAGTGAGTGGGGTGCGCGCGCGCTGCCAGTCATACAGTGACAATCGCGGCCGATACCACACGCCGCCAGTGCAGTGCAGTGTACCAACAAAAAAAAAATACCACCAAAAAAAAAAACATTCAACAGTGACGCTTCATCGAAAAATCAGTGTACGTTAAAAAAGAAAAAATAACAAAACGTTTGCCTCACGGGGGCATAGTTTTGGGAAATGTTTGTAATTGGCATTTTAATAGTGACGTGAATGTGCCGCGGATTGTGGATACGACACAGTGGATAAGCAGCGGACTACAGTTTTCTTATTTTTTTTTTTATAATAATATTTTATTATTTTTTCTCTATAATCTCCACCCTCCTTGTAAATATTAGCGATTTGTTGTGAAGCTCTATTTTATGCCAATCACATTTTTTCCCTGATTTTTTCTTTTATCTTATTTTTTGTTTGTTTTTTTGTTTTGTTTATACTGACCTCTCTGTGCACTAACCGCATGTGTAGTACTCGTATGTGTAGACGTGACGTTTGGAAACATATTATACTGTTTTCGGGTGACAGTACCGAAGGTCGCTCGACAGGTTTTTATTTTACAGTTGTAACGGCGCAACGAAACGCGTGACACCGATTATTGTGTGCTTTTTTCTTTGTTTTCGTGGTATTTATAAAATAAATAACAGCACTCGTAGCGACAATCGCAACTAAAAAAAAAAAACAACTATTTAATTTGCTAATAAAAATAACATCCGAAAAAGAATATTGATTTTTATGTTAACGTTACTTGAAAAAAAATTTTCACGTAGTACTTACGCTGAAAGCAATTTTTTTAAACATAAAGTAATTTTATTATCGCTCGTCATCGAGTGGTAATATATCGATGTCGCTCGTAACAAGTATTGAACTTGCTTATAGTATTTCTCTAACTTTTTAACTTTCCATTGACGACTATAATATCGGATGAGCCTAGAGCCAGGTACTTCACGGTCTACAGTTTTCGTTCTATCTTGTTCTAGTCCTATCCACACCCTGTGCCTCCCCCGGATACTCAGTGCTCAAACGGACTGTACTCCTGACATCAAAGTGAATAATGTATCGGATTTGACGGCGCTTGTACGAGTTTCGTTAACAAAAACGTTTTATAGGTACGTATTATTTTTTTATATGGGTCAGTGAACTATTTTATATCTCATTTTTAGTGAATAGTAAATAATTCGTTGATTGATAAATTAATATTATCTATCTTTTATAATATAGGGGCCACGTTCAATTTACGTTAATTTATTCTTATTCTCGTTAAATAGGTCACTGAACTTTTATTGTACTGGCGTGAATTTTGGTAAATGGGTCATTGACTGCAGTTATCGTGTTTGCGTATTTATGCTAAATCCGTTGCCACCGTAACTGGATTTGATATGAATGTGTAGCCTAAACAAAGGTTATGTGTTGAGGAAATGGGTCAGTGAACTTTAGATGTAGCTACGTAAAATTTCATAAATAGATCAGCAACCCTACAGCATTATAATACATTTTATATGTGTGTGTGGATTTAAGATATTTTAAGGCTGATTCCGTTTTAATTATATTCGTTCACAATATGAAATGTTTCAATTAGTTTTCGTGGTTAACCAATAGTGAAAATGAAAATAACTTAAAACTTTTGTAATAATTTGTAAAATTGAAACTTAAATAGTTCGTGTATATTGTTTTTATGTAATACATATATTTTATGCAAAATTCGTTACCATAGTTACCATATTAGCTACGTGTCATAAGCCGTTCTGTGTGCTCCCGATGTTGTGTAAGTAAATGCCTGCTTTGTAAATGTAATGATTTATTGAGATTCAGTAGTGACGGCAACAGTTCATTTCTTTCATTAGATAGCTTAAAAACAAGTTGGCATATTTGATTAGAGATTATTGGTTATCAAATTTCATGAAAATTTTAGTGTATTTGATTTAAATCTATTTAAATGACATTGTTAGGAGAACGTTTGGACGCATTTTTTTGGGTAAAATAATATACATTAATTTCTATATATAAAAATGAATTGCTGTTCGTTAGTCTCGCTAAAACTCGAGAACGGCTGGACCAATTTGGCTAATTTTGGTCTTGAATTATTTGTGGAAGTTCAGAGAAAGTTTAAAAGGTAGATAAATATGAAAATGCTCGGAATTAAATAAAAATAACAATTTTATTTTATACAAAAGTTTAGGTCTTTTATTTATCGATTGAGGCACTACGAAGTCTGCCGGGTTAGCTAGTTTAAAAATAAATATTTGTTAGTTCATTATACGTTTCCAAACTATTTATTCGCTTGTGGTGCAACTAGGGACAGTTTTTGAGACTCGAAAGAAGGTGTCAGTACTAGCACAGAACGATAGATGGCGCGTGAGTAGTTTATTGAAGTTGACGTGTTTTATACAATGAGAGAGTCACACTTTGAAGCTGTGACGCTACCTAATTATAAAATTTATAAAATTAATTACTACTGAAGAAAATAAAATACCAGTTATGAAAAACTGTTCCAAATGCTTTAACTTTGATACTCTGACTGTCGTACACGATTATCATCTCTTTGTACTCATTTCAACATACAATAAATATTCCTGTCCTATTCCTCACTGGGTCTCGCGACTTCGGCTGCGTCTATGCTGTATGTCAATCAAGTTATAACGTGCAAGAATAGAAGAATAATGTTCCTTTCGTGATAGTTTTCTATTAACTCAGGCCATTTATTATCATCTTCCATAACCGAAATGCTTGTACTGCTAAAATTAAATCATCATGTTAACAATTTACATATTTTTTTTGTGAATGTGTTAGAATTGTGATATTTATTCTTCAATAACCTTTATTGTCGGTTTTTTTGTGTATTTCCAATTAAAAAGGTATTTATTTATGGCTTGTTGTATGTTACCTACATCCCTTTTAGTCTGTCTGGTTTTATATGTACTAGCCGTGTGAGTTGTTGTGAAGTGTAGATGTGTGACATAAGGTTGTTGAGTTTGGTGAGTTTATTATGTTAGCCGTGTCCTGCTTGAAAAGTTATTGATTTGTTTTAGTTCTGTACCAATTATGTCTCGTTTTCGCGTATGAGGATATTAAAATATATATTTTTTATCTATAATAGTATTTTTTTAATAGCCGCAACAGAATTTTTTTTTCATCTACGGTGCGCACAATGTTTCCTTGGCTGATAGAATTTGTTACTATTCTGAGAAACTACATACATTATGATGATTTATTTTAAGCAGAAGATTTAAGGTCACAATGATACATAGAGCATCAGTGAGTCAGGCAGTTATTGGCCAATAGCAGTGGGCGTACGGAACTAGCGATCTGGGTCAAATGGTTTTTGTGTCATAAATCGTTTGGGATTGAAAAAAAAAACTGCAACAGTGAATATAAGGGCAATTATTTTCCTTCGGGTTTTTTTATTTCTTCTTATTGCTTAGATGGGTGGACGAGCTCACAGCCCACCTGGTGTTAAGTGGTCACTGGAGCCTATAGACATCTACGACGTAAATGCGCCACCCACCTTGAAATATAAAGTTCTAAGGTCTCAAGTATAGTTACAACGGCTGCCACACCCTTCAAACCGAAACGCATTACTGCTTCACGGCAGAAATAGGCAGGGTGTTGGTACCTACCCGCGAGGACTCACAAGAGGTCCTACCACGAGTATATTATTTAAACTTTTAGCTAGCCATTATTTAATCAACATGTCGTGCTATATTTAGGCAGTGTTGAAAAAGTTAAGTCGCGAATAACAAATATTATATTATTTAGATTATAGAATATAATAAAGGTTAGATAGTATGTATGAACTTGTAATAAAATCTCTTTGGCTTTACTATTTGTATGGTTATTTATGTAGACTCAGTATTTTGTGTTACATATTTAGAAGTATTTATTTTATTGCTGTTAAAGACAGCTGAGCTGAGAGCTCATCTAATGGTAAGTGGTAGGTGCTTATAGACACTGGTGATGTCAGGAGCAATGCCAGGTGGCTGCCTACCGTGAAGTGCGTTCGTTAAACCGGTTTATAGAAGATATCTCAGAAGAGCGATTTTATTTGTTTGAGTTTGTAACGTGATACAACAATCAGATACACACCAGGGTAACTGCGCTTATTGTTCCCGATAATATTTGCTATAACAACGCTGCTTCAAACCTGTAAAATTATGCTCTGGGTAAAAACAATTTTTTGAATTAGACTATTTTGAGTTATACGACATTTATTGTAGTAAAAACTCTTTATTTTAGAGTTAGCAACACTTATAATTGAATTGTAATGTTTCTTGCGACAAAATATTTTAAATATGAGTCCCTTGTAAAAGAAAGCTAGATTAAACCGTGTAAAGGATTTTTATTCATGTAGACGACACGTGAAAACCCCAGGACGGACAATGTCAACAGGCGATAACATTCGTTAGGTTAGTACGGAATGCAAATAAGATCGCCACTTGAGTACGGAGTTGACAGCTAGCTTTGCAATAGAACATACGTTGAGCTGGATACCACGCTATACCTCCTATACGGTAGCAGGACCGTTTATCAGTTTTCTGAAAATAACTATAAAGAAATTCAGCACCAGTTGAGATCGCGAGCACACCGTACACAGTATTTTGGCTCTACATGTCAGAACTATGTGTAGGTACACGTAAAATGAGTGAATTGTGTGCTTTCCGTAATTGATGGGTTCGCATGTAGTTATCGGCTCGGGTCGAAATTCGAGTAATTATTCGTATTATAATTTTGGGAGGCGATGGAAGCTGTCTGTCATAGTGTCATCAATATACGACAGTTGCTATGCGAATTGTTGTTTAAATTTTTGCCTTTTTTGTACACTTAACGAGAATTAAGTAGTGGGGCGTGATTGACATTATAACTAAGTGATAGCGATCTACGAAGATTTATTTTTAAGCTTACGTAAAAAAATTAAACAATAGGAATTTGTTCTAAATGCAAACTATTAAAAAATTCTTACTTAAAAAAAGATAAAACGCTATAAATAATAAAAAAGTGTAATTTATAATCGCACAGCGTACGTGTATTATGATGTGACATCTTCACGCAATACTCACTTTGTCTCTTATTAAAAAAATCATAACATGATAGATATCCATATTATTGTACACATTTATATATGATAGTTGAATCGCAGGTATGCTATCATACTAGTGTATTTCTAATGCTCATCTCTACATTGGGTCCACGAATTCGGATGTGATTCAGTCGATGATGGTATGGTTCAGTTCGAATTCGTTATAAATTAAAAATATGTGTTTTTGAAGGGTTCGATAAACTTTGTAAGTATAAATGAGACCATGTTTCGCGTGTGAAACTGGTAGAGTATTGGTTAAATAATAAAACTCAACCTTATCTCTTGATATTATTACACAAATATGAGAAGTAATTTAATTACTTTTCTTCGTTTCATTATAACTTTATTTGTGGAAGTAAACAATGAATATGAAAAAAAAAACAATCTAAGTAGTATCCAAATAGAAAACCATCTTTTTTGAAGTCGACTCAGAAAGTCCTCATTCAAATGCATGAGAAACACAAACAATGTACAATAGTAAAATAGAAGGCTAACCTAGAACATCCGCCGTGGCACACATTCCCTGGGTGGGGAGAGCCGCGGCGTAGGAATGGGGGGAGACTGTTAACTTTCACTCGCGGATCAGCGCGCGGCATTGACCATGCGAACAGTCAAGTTTACTATGACGTATCATTCTAATAGAGATAGCTAGACTCTTTATACGGTGTGTTTGCTTTTTTTTTTTTTTTGATTGGAAGATTACTGGTGGCCCGATGGCCTTTCCAGTTTCACCAGGATAGGTGGGCGAGCAAAGGCTCAGCCAGGAGGGGTGGGATTTGCTAACAACTGCCCGAGCGCCTCCGAAGGAGACCTAACAACTCAAGAGCAAGTATGGGTTAGGTTGTACGTCGACCTCTTTGTCGAGTTCGACGAGTACGGTTACCGGGGTTCCTAGGCCTGCTCCTAGTGTTAGAGCTAAAGGCGTCAGCGTGTTTGTATGCACGCAACAGTTGCGATCACCTTTCCGTCCTTAATTTACTCGGCGGAGTTACAATGCAACATTGCTTGCAGGCACCAGAATAACTAAGACGTATT